TATCTCTGGAAGTCCAAGGTTGAGGGCCTACATTTGGTGATGGCTTTTCTCCTGGCAGTACTAAGATGGTGCAGGGCACATGGGGAAAGTGCAAGTGCATGTGTGTGTCTAGACAACTTTATTGAGATATAATTTACATGGCTTAAAGTTCATCCACTTAAGTAATGCATTTTTATTAAGAACTTTTCTCTCAAAACAACTATAATTTTTCTTTTTTTAGAGTAATGATAGAATTAAAAGAGTTAATTCAAGTTGAACTATATCATAGAACTGTTTAAAAATTGTAAGAGAGTAAGCCAGTGCCAAAGTATTAACAACTGTATATGTAAAAAATAAAATTCTAATGCTTGATACTATAGAAAAAGAAGAAATGTATGTATCTAAGATATCTTACTAAATCTTACCAAACAAGAACATACTAGTAATGAAACCACTTAAGCTTCCAATTGAACACTGTTCTTTGGAGGGTATATATTTTATAGCTAACAAAAAACCCACTGAGAAGATGAAGCCTGGCATATGACTCTCGCATATAAGCCTATTAACAAGCCTACATACCAGGGCTGAGTCAAACTGAGAAAATACTTCTAGAAATTTCCCTAGAGTGTTTTATTAAGTTATTATGAGAATTCAAAGTCTCAGCTCTGCCACATATATCCTGCCCAGATGCTCAAAGCACTTGATTCTACCCCAGGGCAAAATTCCATATTCAAGACTAGATCTAGAGCAGATGGCCATTCCTCCTCTTCTATAATCTGATTGTGCCCTATGAATAAATGAAAAGACTAAAAGGACTGTAGATGCCACAACAGGGCCAGAACAAACATTACTACTATTTACACTACTACTAATATTTATTAAGTACTTTTGTGCACATAATACCCTAATAAGCTTCTGTACAGAATGAGTTCTGATGATTACAGTGTCCCATGTAGAAGCTACATATATTCCTTAATATTCAGAGTTAAGGCATAGTTCTTGCCTTCACACGGTTTTCAGTCTTAGCAGTGACTATGCATCCAGTATTATTCTTGAAGAACATATAAGATCAATTCCTCAAAAGTTTAATGAGCCCTATTACATGCCAGTACTGTAAGGAAAATAAATGACAATGTTCCCACCCCCAAGTTGGCTATAATCTATTTGAAGCAAAAAAGAGAAGAACAAGAGTTTACAATTTTGTGTTAATTAATGAGATGCATATCATAACTGTTCAGGAGATAAATAAGAACTATTCTATTTCTACTACTAATAATAGTTGTTACTTAGCTAGGACTTCTGATTTGTTAGGCACTGTTCTGATCTTTAGCTATAACTTATCTGAATCTTAACCTCAGGTATATTCCATTATTACAATCATTTTACTGAGGATTAAATAACTTGCTTGAGGTCACACAGCTAGTAAGTGGCAGTTGAACTGTATCTATTAACCACAGGGTTAAAGGAAGGAGTCATATGACAGGAAGACACTGAGTTAAATACAGTGAGAATAAAGAGGGGAGGACAATTTGGTGAGAAGTATAACTTGAGCAAGGCAGAAGTAAGTCCAAGATGGGTGAAAATTGGAGATTAGTGTGACAGAAGATTAGATTTCAGGCAGGATAATGTTCACTTATGGAAGGTCTTAACCTTTAAAAGGGTAGAAGCTTAGATCTGATACTGCAAATGAAGTAGGCTATAATAAGTCACTTATGATATGCTACCTCAGCTGATGGCATTCCTGTCTAGTTCATTCATGTAAGGAAGAGAAAGATGTTGTCATCCCTTTTCAAAGACTCAACCATCTAGACTTTGCCAGTAACTCTGAGGTTTGACATTAATTTGCTGGTGGCCCTTGATTAGAAAAGTAGATTAAACAGAAGAACTAATGCCAACCTCAATTACACCTTGGCCCTAAAACATAGTTAACAAAAACAAACATCAAATCACCATTAGAAGTCATGGGTTGTAAAAGGTGCTACTAGATGCCACACTGATATGTATTTTGTCATATAAATTCAATTCTTAAATACAACTTGAGGTAGTGTATAACGATCACTTAGTCAGCTTGTATAGTGCATATTACTGGGGATTTTGATGCAACAGACTGGCACCCAATACTATGCATTTTATTTAAATACAAAAGTATCAGATGATTCCAAAGCAGATAATCTAAATGCCAAATTGAAACAATGTGTAAAAATTCTGAAAAAGTACTAATGGTTTATTCATCTGTTATTGCTCCCTATTATATAATCCTGAAAATGTTAAAAGATTTAATATTTTAATTTTATCCAAATTAAAAAGCCATGAGACCACAGTAATTCTGAATTTTCTGAATTTATCTATAAAGACATTTATACTTCATATCATTGTTGGTGAAAAATATGAGGGACCAATATGTCACTCTTGAATAATTACCATTTAGATACTCACTTTATCATTAAATATTATTCATACTGTTGTATGCAAATAAAGTTTGTTTTTTAAAGGATAATTTTTGTTAACCTACTTTGTGTAGAGAAATATGTCTATTACTTTATCATGGTCATGAAACTTCACCAAGTGGACAGTATTTAGTCAAGATAATCTAGTTATGAAATTCATTTTCTGTTTTAAAAACTTACGCCTTTCAGCCAGGTGCTGGTGGCTCATGTCTATAACCCTAGCTACCTGGGGAGGCTAAAGATGAGGCTCACGTGGTAAAATGCCTTTGGTGCAAGAGCAAAGTCCTAAGTTCAAAACCAGTCCACCCCAAAAAAACTGCTTTTCACTTGTACTTCCCCTTAAAAATGCCATATTCAAAGAATATTTCAGGAAACAATAATTATCACTAATTAATCTTACATATTTATATTTTAAATTATGTGTAAAAATACAACAAAAAATGCTAAGCAGAATAGACAAATAGAAAAACAAGGAACTATGAAACTAGCAATCGTAATTGGTCTACATAAGTAGCAAAACAGTAGCAATATTCCAAGAGAATGTTTATCGTGATTTTTAAGAGTTAGAGTACTCAATAAGTATTTGGAAGAAAATTAGATTTTAAATCAGGAAAAGGTAAATTACATTTACTAAAATTAATATTTCACAATCATTTAGGATCCTCTGAGGGGAACATTATTGGCTTGATTTCATACCAACTGAAACCTTCGTTATGAAATAAAACCAATAAAATGATTTATTTCATTCATTTTGTAGACATTTTTAAATGAGAAAACTCCCAAGGTATCTACAATTTCCAAGGAAGCAAAGTTAAGGGATGCCCTTGGGGGTACAAGTATTATTATTATTATTATTATTATTATTATTATTACTGCACTTAGAGATTAAACCCAGGGCTTCACATTTGTTAGACAAGTGCTTTGAGTTACACCCCCCAGTCCTCCTTGGGGGTAATTATTGACAGTGGCATGAAATATTGTAGACTTCTATATTTAGGGCAGTGTAGAATATGACCTTATATAGAAAAGCCAATTATTTGCCAACGTACATCCAAACTACAAGTCCAGTAATGCCATTACTTATAAGATCAATACCTAATAAGATTAAAAATATATTCTACTACTATATCTACAGAATACTTTCTCAATTGAAGACTGAAGACATCCCCATTATTAACCTATCTAAAGAGAAACCAGAAAAAGAACAAATAAATGTAAAATAATTTAAATTTAATATATAATGTTATAGCAAGGTCTAATGTCCTGCTCAAATGATGGTGGGCTCATTTAGAAAAGAAGACAGTAAGTCATGATGTAATTTTACTCTACAGGAAGACATTTGAACTTTAATTTTATAAAGATTTCATAAATTGAAAATATTTGACATAGGTAAATATACATCTATTACTGTGCTATGACTGTTTTTCAATAATGCCTGCCATCTGAAGGAAAAAGTAGTGCAAGGAACTGAATCTCATCAAATACTGAAAAAAGAGAATATTGTGATTTGGGAAAAAGAGGAGAAAGAAGTTACTTTCCCAATGTAAACTGTCTTAGCTCTTATTTTTAAAGGCCAAGAGGACTACCATTAAAATTTCACACTCCTAATGAAAGTTTAATTAGTGATCACTGTTGTGTGCTTATTTTTTGCAAGGCATTATTGTCTATGCTGTGTACAGATCAGGATTAATAAAATATTGTTACAGCTATTAAGGAACTCATCATGGTCTATCTATAAAGGCAATAAACTGGATTAGTAACTATAGTACAGAGAAGAATAAAAGGTGCTAGACAGAGTTATAAACCATTTGCAGTGGGATTAAAAAGGGCAGAACAACTAAAGACTCCCAGCCCTCAGTACCTGTTACCTTTGAATCAAGACTCTCTCCTCCTCAGCTTTTCCAGAGGCCTAAGGGAGGAATGCTGCTAATTGTGAGATGAAACTACAGACCAGACGTCTCAAAGTAGTTTCAAACAACTACTATTTTAGCTTCCAATCTCCTCTCTTCTAGCATTTACAGCTTTGCCGTTCTTTTTGCAGCCAATTTCTACACCTTTCTGGAAGTTTTTAAGGTGATTTCTAAATATCATATCTCTGCCATCCCAAATCTGCAGGCATTTAAGCTGTCTTAGCTATGTTCTACTAAGTCATTTACCTTTCCTCTGTCCAACCCATGCCTTGATAGTCTTTAAAGTGGACTTCACATGTCTCTTGGCTTCACTGAATGTGAAGGAAGTTTCTGTTTGTTGTTCTTGTGTGGTTTTCAAAATGAGAGTAGAGTGGAAATGACTTAATTCCTTCATTTCAAACCTATCTTGATAACTTGACTACAATTTTATTATTAAACTGACATTAAAAAAGAAATATTAATAATAGGCTGGAAAATTTTAAATTCAAACTATAAAAATCTTTTAAAGAAAAATTGAACAAAGTGACCTATAGGGTAGGAGACAATGCTTTGTGAATTAGGACAGAAAAAATTAAGAAGAAATTTTCTTGTATTCCCCACATCATCTGAGGTAGACCACTGCTTACTCTGCCTGAAGTACAAGTTAGTCACAAACACTCCAAACCTTCACAAATATGATGAATTCTTCCACTTTCTCATTAGCTAACAGCAATTTCTTCTGTGCACCTTCTAGGACCTGCTCACTTTGCAGTGCTAATTCTTGAAGCTGTTTAGATGCTGCTATCTCGATTTCTGACATTGCAGATTCAGTCTCATTTATTTTTGATAGTAGGAGAGTAAGCTTGAGATCCTGAAAAAGATCAGTAATTATAAAATAAAAAATATTTTATAACCAGGTTGGAAGAGTTAGTTATACATTATCAGGTAAGGAAAGGTCTTATTTCTACATATGTATTTTTATTTGGGTAAAATTAATGACTACCATTGTTTTCACTATTATAGCATTCGTTAATGTTAAACAAATTCTCAGTATTTCATGTAGCAATATAGTATTCTAGCAGTTAATGTGAAGTTTATAAGTAGCTCATAATAGTTTGGGGAGAAAAAAGTGTCAATGTTAAAAGTGAAACAAGTTATCATTATATTCAATGGGTAGACTTAAAATGTCTTAAAAAGCATACCTTTTTATCTAACTCCTCTTTAGTTTTCTGATACATCTGTTCATACTGTGATTTCTCTTTTACAGCAACATTAAGTCTTTGCTTTAGTGAATCAATTGATACCTTCTTATTGGAACATTCTTCAGTTAATGTCTTTACCTACAGTAAAAATATAAAGGAAACCATTATTGATAAAGGCTCTCTAGTAGTATCAAATTTATTTATTATACTTGCAGAAAACATCATAAAGAAACTGACATTCCTTAAATCAGTAACAAAAACCAAAATTACACAAAAATGTATGACTATGTATAATAAAGTATTAAGTAATGACATTTACCTATTTCAAAGAATAGAATAAATTTTCTTTTTTAGCTCAATGCCACTAAAATATGTGATTACTTTATATAAAGATTCTAAAGCAGTTCGTACCTTAAATGATTATTGAAGTTAAAGAATTAGCAAAATTTTAAGGATAACACTGACAAAGCCTATGGTAAGTAATTATCATTTACATGGGTGCATTGAGAAAAACCTGTAACATTCATGTAAAACTTTCTCTTCTAAATCCATTTGATCTAATAGAGTTTCAATTTCAACAGTGAAAATAAGGGAGATGTTCTCTCAGAAGTAGGTAATATTTAATGAATACCAAAGCACAAGCTGCTTTATGAGTTGTACAAACATCCTTTTTAAAAAAAAGAAATCTTTCTAATTTGGGGTCATATATTATACAACTATTTTAAATACAAGTCCCTTCCCATGTACACTGAATTAAGTACGTATAAAAATGTGTTCTTTTAAAAGAAGATAGTTATTGGTATAATAGTTATCTTGGTTTGTAAACTGTAGTTTCAAACAAAACAAAATACTGAATAAAATGTCAGCATGTATATCAGAAATATTAAAGATTTAAAAATTTTAACTTATCTTCTCATGGGTTAGTTACAAATAGAAACAGAATGGGTGGTTATGTTACATGGGAGATTTTGGACTCTTGAATTTTAAGACAAATAATATCCTTTAGAGCAAATAATGTAATTTTGTAACTGCAAATGTGTATCTTGTGAGTATAGATTAGTATTGAATATTTGAGCTAAGAAAGTAAATACAACATGTAATATTTTAGTGTCAGTGAACATAAAAATTGATACCTTTTTTTCAAGATTTTCTAATATTTCACTAAAACTCTCACTACTTTCTGAATTTACTTTCTGTCGAAATTTCAAATCCTCTATCAAATGTCTTTTCATGGCTATATCCCTCTCCATTCGAGACATCCTTAAAAAGAAAAAATATATTTATCAAGAACAGAAAATATTTCAACAATACTGATAGGTATTTTTTCAATATTATGCCTGTTATAGTTTTTAAATGTTATTTGATATTAATGGAACTATGAATTAGTAAAATACATTGCACTGAAAAAATGTTGTTGTATTAGATTTTAATAAACTATAATCTGTGACTTGGTTGGCACAGTACAGTAGTATTACAGCATTTAAACAAAAGAAAGTTTATTAAGATTTATAAAAACTTAGAATTGTTAAATTATATTTTTTTCATTGCTTAGAAAACTTGCTGTGATATTTAGAGATAATCAAAACTACAACAATGTTAAGAAACTCCTTTAATAAAGAAATATAGTCTTGTAATATGCAAAGAACTAAAAATTAGACAAAATACTTCTAATTTAGTATCATTTGAGATTGAATTCACATTTTAGCTTAGATGGTAAAATATTAAGTATAAAACAGAAGATGCAGTGATAACTGTTTCAAATGCTGCTGCTACTGCTATTACCACTATAACAAGAGTAACAGTAGCTAAGACTTGTGGAATGCTTATTATAGCCCAGTCATTACTGTCAGCACATTATATGTATTAACTCATTTTTTCCTTCTAAGAATCTTATGAATTAGTACTATTAAATATTAGCACTATTAAATAGAGGCGTAGAGCTAGTAGGTACAATAGCCAGGATTCAAAGAATCTTTCTGCAGAGCCTTCAATGTGAAATGATAGCAATATCATGTTGTGATCTATAAATAAACTTCAATATATTCTGTTAAAAAGTTTAATCAGTTTTTTGTGTAATAGTTTATCAATATCACGTTTAAGTGATCTTCACTTATAATTGCTATACAGATATATATATGTATATGTGTGTGTATAAATACGTCATAATTTATCAGTGGTGACTGGAATTCTATCTAAGCATGTTATCACCTATAATCTCTATTATAGCTATGAAGCATATAGACAGAAAATTACTTTGGTTCAATGGGATAGAGCATTTAAATCCCCTTTCTACCTTTTTAATTATAAACATGAAATGTACCTCTAGATATTCTAGACACAAGAAAAACTGTACTTTTTCCACCTCAGCTTTATAAGCTCAGGCATTAAACCTAATGTAAGTATCAATCTATATATTTCGTTGGTCAAATAATGCCCACAGTTTAAAGTCTTTTGTTCATAGTCTTGAATTCATTAATTTGTATTTATTCAAATTAAATATGTTTAACACAAGAAACCTAACTTTAAATATTCAAATATTCTTAGCCTAATTAAAAATAGTAACCAGCTTGTAATTAATTACACTATGGGTAGTATTCCTTAAAATACCATCTTACGTAGGTTTGAACATAAACTAGGAAAGTAAAATCCCATTCTTAATGATATATTATCATTTAACAGATTTGACTTACCACTAGGTGGCACCAAATACAACGGATAGAAAAATGAAAAACCTACTTTTCATGAATTTCCTTTATGTGTTCTTCTTTTGCTAGGAGTTCAAATTTCAGAGACTTCATATTTGATGCCTGCTTAGTGAGTTCATTAGTTGCATTCTAGATTAAAAACAGACAAAAATTTCAATAGATTCTTCAACCTTGATCTAAAACAGAACAGTAAATGCCATTATGAGGAAAGGTAAAAAACTTAGTGATGGTAAATAATTAAAATGATCATTTTTACATTTTATATGATTTATTTCATATTTTCTGATAGCTATAATATAGTAATATTAAAATTTTTATGTATGTGCCAGACCATGGAGGGACATGACAAGTTAACAATTACAGAATACACACCTCAAATACATTTATGGGAACTATGAATCATCATAGTAAAATGTAAATGTGTGAGTATTTAAGAATTTTAATGGCTCAAAAAGATCACTTAAAATGAATGCTGGATTTATTAACAAACTGTAATAGACTATGGCCACAAATAATTTGCTACCCTCCTATCAAGAAATGGAATCTATTTCTCAACTGTTTGAATCTAGTCTGATCTTTTGATTTGCTTTAACTAAAAGAATGTGGCAGAAATGATATCAGGCAAGTTTCAAATCCTGGACCTCAAAGCCTTGTGGCTTTCACATTTGCTCTCTTGGAATGCTGCTCTGGGATCATCTTGCAAGGAAGATAGTTGAAAGGCCATGTGGAAGAGTACCAAGGTACCCCAGCTGACAGCCAGCAGAACAACTGCAAGACCCATGAGTGACCCATCTTGGACCTCTAAGCCAGGTAAATAAATCTCTTGTTTAGAAGAATGCAAACATATAGCCAGGCGTAGTGGTTCATGCCCATTAATCCTAACTACTTGGGATTTAGAGATCAGGAGGTTCACGGTTTGAGGCCAGCCCAGCAGGAGACCCCATCTCAATCAATAAAAGCTTCTTAACATAGATTTTCTAAAGAGCTACAAATAAAGCAAATACAAACAATTGATAGATACATGCATCACTTATTTGAGAGAATTTATGTTATTTCTAATTTTCTGTTATCCATCTATAAAGTTGAGTACTTTGAGGAAATATGTCTAATTGGTAAAAATGAAGATACAGAAATACACATGAGCACTCTAATGAAACAGAGACATCAGATAAAGCACACATAAGAAAATACATAGACAAGATTAATATTAATTGGATAAAATAAAAAAGATACATGTAGATCTTTAATAGATTCAAATCTAACCAACTTTCTCAACTGAACATAAAAATATCAGTGAGAAAAAAACTTTATTCCTTAGATAATCACTGTTTTAGCTTGCTATCAGTTAGGGGATAAATTATGTCCCCCTAAAATTTATATGGAGAACTTCTCTCTTAACCTCTAGTACTTCAAAATGTGACTGTATTTGGAGGCAGGGTCTTTAAAGAGGTAATTAACAAGAAAATACATAGACAAGATTAATATTAATTGGATGAAATAAAAAAGATACATGTAGATCTTTAATAGATTCAAATCTAACCAACTTTCTCAACTGAACATAAAAATATCAGTGAGAAAAAAACTTTATTTCTTAGATAATCACTGTTTTAGCTTGCTATCAGTTAGGGGATAAATTATGTCCCCCTAAAATTTATATGGTGAACTTCTCTCTTAACCTGTAGTACTTCAAAATGTGACTGTATTTGGAGGCAGGGTCTTTAAAGAGGTAATTAAGGTAAAATGAATGTTTAGGGTGGGCCCAAATACATTATGGCTGGTATCTTTATAAGAAGAGGAAATTAGGATATGGAAATCCCAGAAGGAAGATGGTGTGATGATGAAGGGAGAAGAAAGCAATCTACAAGCCAAGGAGAGAGGTCTCAGGACAAAACCAAACCAAAGTCAACACTTTGATCTTGGACTTCCTGCTCCCCAGACTATGAGAAAATAAATGTTTCTTAAGCCTCCACGTCTGTGGTATTTTGTCATGGCAGCCCTAGTAAACTAATACAATATTGAAACAAGAATTTTTTAGTATCAGACAACTATGTATTTAAATTTCTTGTAAGAATTTTTTTAACATGAAATAAGATAAAAATAAATGTATCCTTTTTGCCTTTATACAGCCTGGTGTTAGAGATGAAAAATAAAATTGCTTTAAATGTTCCCATGTCTCACTTTTCTATCTCACACATTCCTGAAAATCAAGAGAGAACATTTCTAACTGATTAGAACCTTTGCTGATTTATAAACCGTACAAAGACATAAGCCATTAGAACCTTTAAGAGTCTCTAAGCTGCTTTTCAAGCTAACAATAACCACATGAAATAATTGCCTTTTAATAATGATAACTACTTGAAGTGAACTTTTTAAGATATAAATAAATTTTTCTATTACCTAGGTATTGTGTCCTAAAAAAGAACCCCAAAAAACAATGTATACCATAGGAAAACACAGTATAAATAAGTTACAGATGATCATATGGATCTATTTCATCCCAAATTACGTAAGAACATTTTAAACTTTTAATTGCTGCTAGACCACTTGTACTAAGTAAAATCAAAGGAGTAAAACAAATCAACTTAAACTTATTAATAATTTAAAAATTTAGAAGTCAGATAATACTAGACCTAACATTCTATTTTTATCTTGGTAATAATAATTATATTAGGATCACGAAGACTTAAAAATCAAAGGAATTACAGAACTGTGAATTAAAGCCTATATAGCAGATAAGATAAAAAAAAAAAAACTCAATGATTTTGCCTTTTTGGATGTGAAATTTTAATGTTTAATTTATATATTTTATAGAACTTTTCCTGAGGCAAAAACACATTTTAAAAGATGATACTTGCCCCAAACTTGCAGAATTTTCTCTCACATTTTTAATATGATGTTATTTAAACTCATAAAATGTTGTTGGGGCAAGTTCTACATGTAAAAATTGTCTAAGGATGGTATTCAAGAAGTATCCCGGCCAGCCTTAGTGGTACATTCCTATAATCCTAGCACTTGGGAAGCTGAGACAGAGGGGTCACAAGTTTGAGGGCAGCCTGGGTTGCACAGTGAGTCTCTATGTCAAAAAAAACGAAAACAGTCAGGTGCCTCTGGCTCATGCCTATAATCCAAGCTACTCAGGAGGCAGAGATTAGGAGGATCATGGTTCAAAGCCAGCATGGGCAAATAGTTCATTGAGACCCTATCTCGAAAAGCCCTTCACAAAAATAGGGATCATGGAGTGCCTCAAGGTGAAGGCCCTGAGTTCAAGCTCCAGTACCGCAAAACAGAACAAAACAAAACAAAAAATAAAACAACAAAAATCTCAGGGTGGGGATGTGGCTCAGTGGTAGAGCACTTGCTTAGCATGCAGAAGGGCCCGAGGTTTGATCCTCAGCTCCACAAATAAATAAACAAAAAAACTTTAGCTGTTGTGTTGGCAAACAACTGATATCCCAGTCTCAAGAGGCTGAGGCAGGAAAAAACAAAAACAAACAAATGAACAAACAAAAAAAACAAAAAAGAAGCATCTCAGTTAATGCCAGGTTTATAACAGATTATTACCAATAAAGGAAGATATTTTCAAGCAATGACATAAGCACTTATTTTAAACTTTATTCTATTTTACTGTATTTGTAATCCTGCACTAAGACATTTATTATGGATTGCAAACAATATTGCAATACTCTTTTACAGTCATGGTAATTCCATTTATGTACTCTACTCTTACAACCAGATTTTCCTTTCTAGTGACTCTCATTATAGCTATGGTCCTATTGCTAGTTTCCAGTAAGCAATCTTCACTGAAGGAAAAAATTAAATATGTGAAAAATAAATAAGCATGTTTTAAGCAGCATAAAAATGAACTTTCCAATTAGAACTCATGAATCCTGTTTCTTACAAGATAATTCTAAGGTCAGTCTCACTTTCAGGTTGTTGACAGTTTCACGTGGACTTAAATTTAATTCTTTGTAAACAAAAGGAACACTGCTTTGTATTCTCACTCTCAGGTTTAATTTACTAAAATTTATCAATTCAATCCATCTTTGATTTGTTTCTTCTCCACTTCCCACTTCTCTTTTTCAACCAAGAACAACCAAATTAAACTAGTAATAAGTGTGTAGAGAGCAATTCTATTTGTGCTGATTCATCATATTTGAAAGGCTTCTTTTCTCTTGGAGGGAGGTATGGAGAGCAGTGAGAATTAGCATATTGAAGTAGAAGACCAAGGCCAGTTTCCATTAGCTCCTGTTAGGATTCTAAGGTACCCCTTCATTTCTTTCAACAAATAGTACTGTGAGTTACCAGATAAGAATCTATTAGGCTAAAACTGAATGATGAAGTCAAATGCAGGATTCATAATTTTCCTTTATTAGAATAAATTAGAGTTGATATAAACATGTCTTTAAGATGCAGTAACAATATATGTTTTCATATACCATAAACATTGTAATCACCTTTAGTTTACACTGCAATTGCTTCATTTCTAAATCCATGCTTCTTGAAGGACCCACTGATGTAACTCTTATCTGTGGAGCAGTTACCCCGGAAACTTCTTCTGCCAAACTTGTGAGTTCAGATGAGGATGCCAATTTCTTCAGTAAATCTTCTTTTTCTTTTCGAAGACCAGCCAAATCCAAATTTAATTTCTTTAAAAAAAAAAAGATAAAAAAGAAAAGAAATATAATTGTAAAATTAATCAATATAAATATTGTCAACATAAAATTCTACGTAGGAAAAAGAAAAAAATTAAATTAATTATAGAAATACTGCAAAACCTTTTACAAAAATTCTAACCTCTGTTAGTTTTTGCTTAAGGTCACAACGCTTGTAAAGCTAAAACAAAGTGAACTCAATGGCTGAATATAGCTTTTGGTTGCCTGGTCCTTACTGGTAATGCACTATTTCTTTGCCTTCACATAAACATGGTGAGCCAAAGATTCACATATTGGTAACTTTGACTTTGGGGCTGATGTACTTAACTTAGTAAAAGCCAAGCTGGAGCAGGACAGGATAACAGATATTACTTGTTTATTACACTGGGTAGGTCTTACCAACCTACAGAGCAGCCAAAATACTTCTCATTTAGCAACATAAATGTTAAGTTCAATTAGCAGCTGAGGTTTGTTAGGGAGTTAGTTCAAATAAACAGCATCCAAACAAACTCACTCAATTTTATGTACCTGATAGTTGACAAGCCTTGTTAGTAATGCTGAGTTAGAACTGCATTGAAACTCGAACATTTTAATTTTTAATAATATAAACATTTTGCAAAACAATATACAGGTAATTTTTTTTAGGTTTTTAAAATTTTTATTTCTTATTTTATTTTTCAATTTTTAAAATTACTGTTGTGCTCTGGGTGGGAGTACACTGTAGTATTTAAAAGGTTCTTACAGTGTATCAAATATATCATGCTTGAATTCACCCCCTCCAAGGAAAGAAAAAGAAACAATCTTCATATTAGCCTTTTTCCCAATCTAGCATCAGCAGAATGTCACCAAACTAATAGCAATAACAGCTCAGAGCATCATAAGAGGATAACTGCACTATTATCTTATTATTCCAAGGAAACTTATAATACGGTAATGTAACATAAGGAACAATTAGACAAAATGGCACTGAAAACCCTCAGAGGGGGAAAAATAATCTTTTTCTATGAATTCAAATTAGAAAATGCAAAAGATGTACCTAAAGTGTACAGTAGTATATTAAGTTATTCAAGTAAAGACTATATTTAAACATAACTTACAAAAACTATTCCAAAAATCTATAATTAAATATGAACATGTCATATCATAAATTAAAAATTTAGGGCTTGATATATTATAGTACGTTTTTAGTAAAATAAGTATAGTTTGGTGGAAAAAGTATTTCATTGGCTGTATTTTAGCTTATAACTTAAAAGAATATTTCTATGCATTTTCAGGAAATTTTTTAGTGAATTGTCCCAAATTAGCAGACAAAGCTTGTTAATAATTAATAACTAGAGGAGCTCTTCTTTGCTATTTTTCTATCTCAATAAACTCTCCTGCTTTACACACAAAAAATTAACATCTAAAAGTAAACTCATAATTTCCTTAAAGCTAAACATCTTTCTGTTACAATCCAGGCTTGACTCCACCTTCCCCCCCCATTTATTAATTCTCTATGTTCAATCAATTGTCATGTTCTATATGTTATATAATGCTTTTTGTATTCATTCTCTTCTGTCTCTTAATGCCGACTCTCATTATCCCACTAAGACTATTGTTAGAACCTACATTCTCCCCTCAACTTTTCCCTACACTCCTAGTTTTTATACCACTAGGTATATTTTATACCACTAGGTATAAAAACTTCCTAAGACAACATTGACCTGTTACACCATTATCCAAAACCCTTCAGTGGTTCTTCACACAAACAGACTAAAGCTCAGATGTTTGTAGATAATAAGGCTTTCTAAGACTTACCTAACATTTGTGTTTCAGTCAGATATCACTGAAAGTAAAACCTCCCTGCCATTCCCCACACTGCCTGCATATTCCCCCTGCTGCAGCAGTCTATTACCCTTAATGTTACCCTTAATATTTTCTCCTTCCCTTCTTCACTGAGCCATCTTTTTTTCTAATTTTTTTCAACAAAGTAGCTTCTCCATTATTTTAGCTCCCATAGAATGATGCATGTTCCTCATTCATAAACACTAGTAAATTTTAAATCCTTGAGAAAGGAGTATGCTATTGTCTATTTATGTGTTCACCAGAATATCTAAAAAGATGTGTAAGAACTAAAAGAAAGGTTTAAAAATTTTTAAATTCCCTATTTGTGGTACAAATGATGCTATAAATACACTGATATCAACTGCAGCTTTCACTTATAATCTATGAGCTTATCACCATATAAGTTAAAACACATTTTATTAGTAATAAAATAGGCTTTCACTTAAGTAGTATGCACCAGAATATTTTTCAATTGTGATGTTAATGTTCTATGTCTAAGGACTTTTTGAGGTCAAGCATAGTGGTGCATGCCTGCAAACCCAACTACGTGGGAAGTGGAGGTATGAGGATCCTGGTTCAAGGCTGGCCCCAGTCAAAACTGAAACTATCTGAAAAATAAACCAAGATTTTAAAAAATGGCTGGGGTGTGGCTGAAGTATTAGAGCACTTGCCTGGGAAGCACAAAGTCCTGGGTTTAAACCCCAGTGCCATCAAATAAAGAAAGAAGACTTTTTGAGACCTCAGCTTGGTAAGATATAACTTATGGCTGAAATTACAGGTAAGCTCTCAGGCAACACAGAAGACAACGATTTGCTGAGGCTCTTTTCTTCCTAGGAATAACCCTGGGTGGCTTCTTTCCTTTGTTACATTTATATGCCGCTATAGTCCTATCTATTCCTTCCATGCTGGCATATTGTAATACTATAAATGTGCCTCCACTGAGAAAAGAATAAGTCAATAAATATATTTCTCTAAAAGATATGCATAAGAAAGGGACTATGATAGAAAGAAGAAAAATAGAGGAGATCAATCAATTCAGGTTATAAATATGGAAGTGCCACAAGGAAACTCTCTGTGTAGCTATCTTAAACAAGCAAAAATGTCCTTTTTTTCTTTTATAAAAAAAGAGATATGGATAAGTAAATTTCAACGTCAACTTTACAATATAAAAATTGTTAAATGAAGTAACACTGAAATTATGGAGAAGATAAATGAGATCACTTGTACTTTATTAAAATGTAAGTGATACTTTGATTAAACAATATTTAAAATCTACAATCTTTAAAACATATTTTTCATATTAGTCATATATTTACAGAAATGTTAAAGAGCATCTGTGGAAATAGGGGAAATATGCAAATTATTCATCCCATCGGTTTCGAATCATGTGCTCATCCCTTGGAATTTTGGACAACTAACTTGGTCTCTGTCACTAACTACTCATATTTTAGGAATTCTGTTTCTTGTTTGAGAAATGCTACAGATGACATAAGGAGTATACAAAAAACTTGCATTTGCATTTGGACTGTGAGACTACTTTTGCAGATCCCCGTTAGAAAAAGATTATGCCATAAAATCTACCAAGACATTACGATAACACTTTATTATTTTTGTTTTTTATCAGTAGCACAATTCTCTTTTCTCTATTATTATCTTTCCATCTCCAATGAAAAACTTAAACATATTTATGTCATGTTATATTTAAATCAAAAGAATAAAATATGAATGGAGAGTCATAACTCCTGGGTTCTAGGTCTCAAGATCTATTGTGTCTCAGTTGACTGACTTTAAAGATAAAGATGATGCTTACCTAATGAAGGTAGTATTGAAGGCAGGTTTAGAAACGCCTGTGTTAGCACTTGATAGATTTTCAGTGTGCAGCGTTACTGGCAGCACTGATACTTATATAAGTGCTACGCTATAGTTGGGGATGTATCTTAAAAGCTGAGGAGATTAATAAATTTGTTTCATTTAGCTTGTGTATATAGTAATGCTATAATTTCTCTCATGATGGAAACCTTAGTTTGTCATAAGGCACAGTTATGTGCTTGATTAGAATCAATTTAGGATCGCTACAAGTCTACATGCTTGTTATAGGCTGATGTGTCTTCTTTCACTTTCTCCCAAACTTGAGTCCTCTCAGTCTTCTAAAAGTTCATTTCATTTTAAAGTTGTCTTTAATAAGAAAAAGTGTTGCAATTTACTTTGATTTATTCATGGTCAATTATTTCTAACCAAAGGTTTATAAGGTAGAACTTAACACTATTCTTGAGTAGAGATACACTGAGTATACACCCAAAGTTAATTTCATAGCAAAATACATAAAATCAGTCTGAGCTTTCAAACCATCCAACTTTGTATAACTTCAACCATTTGATCTAGAATTAGAATATGAGCTTTTACACAATTCATACTCTTATTTGGTAAATGCAGTTTAGTAGTAACTCTTTGATGGCCTTTATTAGAAAAGCAGTATTAGAAGCTACTGTGATCCACTAGGAAATGTTTTAACAGCTAGAGACCACTACTTGCTTGAAAGGGCAATCTTGAATTTGGCACAGCAAAAAAAAAAAAAGCCAAAAAAGAAAAGAAAAAGTAAACAGGATTTGATGGCCTATAGTATGTAACAGGGAAAACCTCATCACAAGATCATAAGTGCTCCACTTTTAGGGAATCAAGATAGTCTGTTTAATAGAGCTATAGTAGATTAACTCTGATCCTCAGAGCTTGAAGAAACTGAGCAAAACAGACAGAGATGGTTATATTTGTCTTTATAAAATTGGGATGGAATTTGCTATGCAGAATTGAGATTTGTGGCTTCACTGCTCAGTCTGGGGTGTATGACAGGGTCCCTTCTTCTGAGAAAGTAAAAAATTGATCACCCTAGCTGCAGTAATGTGTAGAAACTTAATTGTATCCACACTAATCAAATGAAGTTAAACGGACTTTTTTGTTTGGGGTTTTATTGCAAGGGCTAGGAGTGGGAAGGAATTATTTTTGTTTTTGTATAAAAACAAAGTAACACCTGCAAAAAATTTGTTAAAACTAGATAGTACTTACTAATTATTTATTTAAACATAACATCAGGATGGGACTGGAAATCATTATGTATATGAAATAAGTCAGACACAAAAAGAAAGTACCACATAATCTTATTTATAAGTGGAATC